AGACAAACTCTTCATCAAGATCAAATGACAGAGTTTGATGCAGGGTCTTTAACAATGGAGCAATGACCTAATATTTCATATTCAAATCACATTTACATATAAACATCAGATGTGGTATGATTGCCATTGGGACAAGTATGTTGCTGGTTTTAGATATCCACCCTATCGTTCATTTTTACATATGAAGTAGACTTGATTCAGGGGCTTCTTGGGGAAGACAGAGGAACTTGCATTGTACTTTTACTTCACATTTCCCAATTTAGGCATTTCTTTTTTCAAAGTTTGTTGACATTATTGATTCCTTCTGTAATTCCTACATAGCTAGTTATAAGGAGCATCCGATACAGGTAGAACTGGCTCATATCTTGACCTTAGCCTGGGGGTTGTTGGTGAGGTCAGTTGGGAACTATAAAAAATTACAACAAAGGAGACTTCTTTTTTCTGAATGTGAACCTTCTATTACTATGTAGCAAGAATCCAGGTATACTTGTATATATGGATTTTGTATCACCATGTTGATTATTCCACTCTTTGCATGTGCTGTACGACGTGTTTCCTTAATAAAATGTTTGCTGTTTTTAAAGGATATCACTGAACCAAGGGTTCTTAATGATAAAAGTTGTAAACATATATATAATTACAAGGACATGTGGTATGATTGCCAATGAGACAACTCTCCACAAGAGACCAAAATGAATAAAGATAACAACAGTATACTGCTGTTCAAAAGTCATAAATCGATTGAGAGAAAAATTAACAAATCTTGGTAACAAACTAATACCGAGGGAAACATATCAACTATAAGAGGAAAACAACAGAACAACAGAAACACTGAAGTGCAACAAAAATAAACGCTAATGGAACATGCATAGAAACGACACAAATGACATAGCAATTAACAACTATAAGTAACCGTATGAACTTCAATAATGAGCAAAAGCACCAACCCTCCCTTTACTTTTGACATTTGATATTTTTATTATCTAGAGCTGCTGTTAAAAAATAAAAAAAAATAAAATACCAAAAAATAATATGAAAACAAAATTGTGAACAGAGTTCTAGATAATAAACATGGAGGGTGGTGAAAAAAGTGGGATTATTTTAAATATTATTTATTCACCCGCTGTACATTCATTCCAAAATTGGCCTCCATTCTCCTTACTTTAGCTTGACTGGACCTTATGTTATAAAAAGTGTACACAATGCTTAATACTACAAAACACAGATCAAGTTCAAATTTGATTGGCGACACATTTTTTCCTTTTTTCGAGTTGTTCCCCTTGTGGCCCTGAAATTACAGCTATAAAACAATTAAAACGAGAAAGCAAAATAATGAATAAAAAACAAACATGATATATAGCATGAACAAATGACAATCGCTGAATTGCAGGCTCCTGACGTGGGACAGCCATATACAGAACAAGGGGTTAGGGGTTAAACTAGTTTGAAGGTTCCAGTACCCTCCCTACCCTTACCTGGGACAGTTGTGTAACAGTACAACATAACAAACTATTAAAATCAGTTGAAGATGGCTAATAACTCATCAGATTGATACAAAGCAGAAATACATCTAACAAATACACAAAACTGACCGGAAGGAGAAGGGTACTTATACATAAGTAGTTGCTGACAGTTAGTTCAAAGACAATAACAACTAATAAAAAAATTATGCATCTAAGACTAAAATATCAATCAGTACACATCCACACCAATGGATTTAGTGTAAAGACATCATTAACAGTTGGAGAAAACCATGACCTTGTGCATGTTTATTCTTTGTATGATTTATTTATGATTAACCAAAATTCTAGAAATAAAAAATTATTCAAATATTAAATCCTTATAATGGCGTATGATAGATACAAATATAAGTTTGTAAATTATTTAGAAATTAAACAGCATCAAAGACAAAAGCTTGATCTTTTTTTAATTTCTGTATTTTACTGATAAATAGACTCTCTCTCTTTTTAAATTCAATATTACACTGACAGCAGCTATAGCAGGCAATACATTAGGTTCCACACAACCACTTATGAAATTTTTAATCTTTGACATGAAATCAAACCGACTAATTCAAATGGTGACTATACCATTGCATGTTTTTGTCTGTATTTTTTTTATATTTGTGTGTACATCATGTGATATGATCATCTGCAGACTTTTTTTTTATATTTATGTGTACATCATTTGATATGAACATCTGCAGACTTCAGAGGCCGTATTCTCAAGATTTAATTTGATGGTGTCTAGTCTAAAATTTATACAAATGTTTTACTTTTTTGGGGAATCAAGGCATTGTTCATTGTTTCTTTTTGACTTTTTATACGCCCATTTACGGGACGTATTATGGTATACCGTTGACCGTCCATCCGTCTATCCGTCTGTCCATCCGTCGTTGACATTAATTCAAGAACACTTTCACCAATTTGCATGAAACTTTGGTGAATTGTTTATATCTATTGACGTGAGTTCTCTTTCGTTTTTTATAAATTTTGGATTTACCATTTCCGAGTTTTGGGGTTTTATTCATTAAAAAAGGGGGGATTTTCAAGTTTTCAGACAATAACTCAAAAACAATTTCAGCAATTTGCAAGAAACTTTGATGAATTATTTATTTCTATTGACGTGAGCTCCCTTTCGTTTTTTTTTTATAAATTTCTGATTTACCGTTTCCGAGTTTTGGGGTTTTATTCATTAAAAAAGGGGGGATTTTCCAGTTTTCAGACAATAACTCAAAAACAATTTCACCAATTTGCAAGAAACTTTGATGAATAGTATATTTCTATCGACATGAGCTCCCTTTTGATTTTTATAAATTTTAGACTACACGTTTCCAATTTATGGGGTTTTATTCATTACAAAAAGGGGGATTTTCCAGTTTTCGGACAATAACTCAAAAATGCTTTCAGCATTTTTTATGAAACTTTGGTAAATTGTATATCTAATTTTGTAAGCTCCCTTTTGACTTTTATAAATTTTCGAATTTAGGTTTCCGAGTTATAAGATTTTATTTGTTTATAGTCTGACAACAGATTTACTAAGCATTGCGCAACAGCACAGTGTAGTGCACAACAGCAAGAAATCTTTAATTGGATATAAATTCAATTCATATAACCAATTTCAAATTCTTTGACTACATTTATTCAGAAACCTATAATATGTCAAATATTTAATTACAATCCAAATTCAGACCTGTATCAAGCTTGAATATTGTGTCCATTTTTGTCCCAACTGTTCAGGGTTGGACCTTTGCGGGCATATCCAGCCTTGCTCAGCGAAGCAGTTTATTGTAAATTGTATATATGTTTTAGAATAGTTTAATACAAAAATGAGAATTTGGATCAGATTCTTGAGCCAGAATTTGACAGCTAATGTTTGGTTAAAACCCAATGATTCCAATTCACTATTCGTAGACGTTCCGTTTGCATATAGCACTAATCCAGCTGCATACATAAAAGTAACAACATTTCATCCAGGTTAAACTTGAATAAGTACACCTATGGACTTCATTTTGGTGGAACATGTATTCTAAAATAAATAGAACATATTTTCATCCCTAAATACAGGAGGTGAGGGTTGGGGTCATTTCTGTTGGAATTTTTGTATTGTTAAACTCAGTCAACAAAACTGTTATTAAAGGAAATATGAATATTTTTTAACCAAAAATGATCAGAAAACATTTGAGAAATTAATTTTGAAATTATTTCAACAAAATCTCTCCAGACTGATATTTGAGGCTAAAGTATTGGAAAGTCAAGAACCCAATACATTCATTAAAGAACTTTAAACCAAAAATATAGTAAAACCTTGACCGAGATTCAGAACTATGCACTACAGTATAGTTCCTATGTGTAGGGACAGTGCCACTCTGTACATTTAAAGAACCCTTGTCACAAGTCTTTGAGGGGTCAGTAGGTGGCCTGTTGCAAGGCTTAATTTCTCCCCAACATATCCTCCTCTCAGTTGGCAGTCAAAATTTCCCCTACCTTCATCATCGGCCCACTTTATAGAACCTACAGATTGATTTGTTATGAAATGAAGTGTTGTGAGACAACTATCCTACAGAGACCAAATGAAGTTGCACGTTACTGTATGGACTTCAACAATGAGAAAATCAACTAACATTAAAATTTTGCAATATTCTGAATTAGAATGACTTTGTTAATACCTCTAACCTTTAACATCTGATATTTTTATTATCTAGAGCTCTGTAAAAATATATAAAAAAAGAAAATACCAAAAAATAATATGAAAACAAAATGGTTGGTAAACAGAGTTCTAGATAATAAACATTGAGGGTGGTGTAAAAGGTGGGATTATTGTAATATTTTTTATGACCCCCACCTTAAAGTCTTCTAAAGTTATCATGTTTAAAACAAACAAAAATTGGAATGGCAATTTAAAAAGTATAGTTCATATGTGTAGGGACAGTGCCACTCTGCACATAAAAGAACCCTTGCCACAAGTATTTGAGGGGTTACTAGGTGGCCTGTTGCAAGGCTTAATTTCTGCCCAACATATCCTCCTCTCAGTTGGCAGTCAAAATTTCCCCTACCTTCATCATCGGCCCACTGTATAGAACCTACAAATTGATTTGTTTTGAAATGAAGAGATGTGAGACAACTATCCTACAGAGACCAAATGAAGTTGCACGTTACTGTATGGACTTCAACAATGAGAAAATCAACTAACATTAAAATTTTGCAATATTCTGAATTAGAATGACTTTGTTAATACCTCTAACCTCTAACATCTGATATTTTTATTATCTAGAGCTCTGTAAAAATATATAAAAAGAGAAAATACCAAAAAATAATATGAAAACAAAATGGTTTGTAAACAGAGTTCTAGATAATAAACATTGAGGGTGGTGTAAAAGGTGGGATTATTGTAATATTTTTTTATGACCCCCACCTTAAAGCCTTCTAAAGTTATCATGTTTAAAACAAACAAAAATTGGAATGGCAATTAAAAAGTATAGTTCCTATGTGTAGGGACAGTGCCAATCTGCACGTAAAAGCACCCTTGCCACAAGTCTTTGAGTGGTTAGTAGGTGGCCTGTTGCATGGCTTAATTTCTGCCCAACATATCCTCCTCTCAGTTGGCAGTCAAAATTTCCCCTACCTTCATCATCGGCCCACTTTATAGAACCTACAAATTGATTTGTTATGAAAAGAAGAGATGCAAGACAACTATCCTACAGAGACCAAATGAAGTTGCACGTTACTGTATGGACTTCAACAATGAGAAAATCAACTAACATTAAAATTTTGCAATATTCTGAATTATAATGACTTTGTTAATACCTCTAACCTTTAACATCTGATATTTTTATTATCTAGAGCTCTGTAAAAATATATAAAAATAGAAAATACCAAAAAATAATATGAAAACAAAATGGTTTGTAAACAGAGTTCTAGATAATAAACATTGAGGGTGGTGTAAAAGGTGGGATTATTGTAATATTTTTTATGACCCCCACCTTAAAGTCTTCTAAAGTTATCATGTTTAAAACAAACAAAAATTGGAATGGCAATTTAAAAAGTATAGTTCCTATGTGAAGGGACAGTGCCACTCTGCACGTAAAAGCACCCTTGCCACAAGTATTTGAGGGGTTACTAGGTGGCCTGTTGCAAGGCTTAATTTCTCCCCAACATATCCTCCTCTCAGTTGGCAGTCAAAATTTCCCCTACCTTCATCATCAGCCCACTTTATAGAACCTACAAATTAATTTGTTATGAAATGAAGAGATGTGAGACATTACTATCCTACAGAGACCAAATGATGTTGATGTAAAATAGGTTACTGTATGGACTTCAACAATGAGAAAAGCAACTAACACTAAAATTTTGCAATATTCTGAATTAGAATGACTTTGTTAATACCTCTAACCTTTAACATCTGATATTTTTATTATCTATAGCTGTGTAAAAAAAATATAAAAATTATAAAAAAAGGAAATATCCAAAAATAAAATGAAAACAAAATTGTGAACAGAGTTTCAGATAATAAACATTGAGGGTGGTGTAAAAAGTAGGCATATTTAAAATTTTGTTTATTATTATGAAAAGTGCACTGTATAATTTGTAAAAATGTTTATTGTGAAGTCTTGAAAATTGTGAAACTGTAGAACTGTATTTATTTGAGATGTCTATATTCAGTCTTCAATGATTGTCATGGCAATTGAGGACAATAGAATATTGCTCTGTGTAGAAACTGTCTTTTTTATATCAAGAAAGATCCAACAAAAGTTTTCAATGATATCTAAAGAGACGAAAGACTGAGAAATACTAAAAGGTCAAATTAAAGTTTTCTATGAGATTGGTGGATTATGTACAGTCAGACAAGGCTGGCACACTCAAGCTAAAAGTAATAGCTATTAAAATAAAATTATGAACTTGTATAATAACATTAATGAAGACAGATGTTCTATAGTGAAGACATGTTCCTACATAATGTTCTATAGTGAAGACATGTTCCTACATAATGTTCTATAGTGAAGACATGTTCCTACATAATGTTCTATAGTGAAGACATGTTCCTACATAATGTTCTGTAGTGAAGACATGTTCCTACATAATGTTGTATAGTGAAGACATATTCCTACATATTGTTCTATAGTGAAGACATGTTCCTATATAATGTTCTATAGTGAAGACATATTCCTACATATTGTTCTATAGTGAAGACATATTCCTACATATTGTTCTATAGTGAAGACATGTTCCTACATAATGTCCTATAGTGCAGACATGTTCCTACATAATGTTCTGTAGTGAAGAGACGTTCCTACATAATGTTCTATAGAGAAGACATGTTCATACATAATGTTCTATAGTGAAGACAGATGTTCTATAGCACAAACAGATGTTCCTAAGTTGCAATGAAGTGTTCAGAAGACAGACAGAGTTTCCTTTTGCAATGAAGTATCCAGAACACATAGTTGATTAGATTTCCAGTTCTTCATTACATATTCTGACGTTTTCTCAAGAAAAATACAAGGTATTGATAGTTTAATAAGTCTGTAAAAAGTGTATTATTTGCACAGAATTTAAATTTGAATTTTAATGGCCAAACCTGTTAGTGTGGATTTATTTTATGATTTTCTTGTTCCTGATTTATGATGCTTCTTGAATATTTAAATTTATGGGAGGTAAATTTTTCATGGCTAATATATTTTTGATGTTTTTGTAATTTTTTCTGGTTTTCTTTTTTATTGTTGAACATGAAGAATTATGAAATTTGTATGACTTGATAAGATACTTAGTATCGAAAAGAAAAGTTATATCAAAACTGCCAATAAATACTTTTTGACAATTCATTTCCTTAGATGAAGACATTGATATTTCCTCAGTTGAAAACATTGAAAATGCCTATAAAATAATAGCTTAATTAATATTTCATTAGAATCTATTGTAAGGTAGCATGTTATTTTGATTTGTTGGTTATTTGTAAAATCATCCAGAACTTTTTACAAAGTAAAAAAATAATAATTGAATGCTAACAAGGGGAAATAGTTTATCAAATTGTAAAAGAAAATACACTTAGTAAGCACTTGAAAAAAGCTTAAAAGTAACAACAGTACCAAACGTACATCTTACTGCAAGTTAAAACTGAGGGAATTCTTTGCAAAATGAGAATCTTCTTACAACCATTTATTGAATAACACTGATGGAGGGTAATAACAGCCATAGATAATATTGATAGAAAAAGAAAAAAAATGTATTTAACAATAATGTCATACATTAGCTATGACATTAAGATGATGTGGTAGGATTGACAATGGAGACATCTATATAGCAGTGACCAAATGAAATCAATTAGTTTGATTATCTCCCTATTATAAAATTTAAAAAAAAACATACAAAAATCTTAATTAAATAGTTTTAATTTAAATGATTATTTCATGTGAAGTATTCATAAAAATGAATTATTTTTATTCTAGATTTCAATGTTCAACCTGAAAGGAGAAATTCTTAAAATTTATGCTGGACATCTCATATCAAGGATCCATCACAATATTGGATATCTAAAGATATCAGACTTATGAAGAATATTCTGATAAATTAATGGTAAGTGTTTACCTTAAGGAATCTTGTGGGTTGATTGTGATGCATACAATCACCTGAATTAATATGAAATTGGAACCATTTTACAGCACTCTAATAGAAGCCAGCTTTTTATATTCAAAACCAAAAAAAAAGTATATTTTCAAAATACCTAGTAATTTCTTGAAATTGTGTCAATCTGTTTTACAAATTTGATCTGATTAATAATAATATTCAAAACAAAAAAAAGTATATTTTCAAAATACCTAGTAATTTCTTGTAATTCTGTCATTCTGTTTTGCAAATTTGATCAGATTGATAAAAAAGTACTACTGGGATAAATGTGAGATGTATTGGACCAAATAATAAGCTCAAGTTGTTTCTAATATTGTAAGGGTATTCTCAATGTTTTCAGAATACTGTAAAATTCTTGAAGGTATAAAGTATAAATAAATATTGTTCATGCAGATGATCCAAAATACTAAGACATATTTTCTGTGTTTCAGATGTACGACAAATCGTGCTACAAGTATCATACCAGCAGAATTATTTGATGGGAGTAAAACATAGGAGCAGGATCTCACCTCATACAAGGTTGGTATTCTTACTTTCTTAGCAATTAATTATCTGTCCATCTGATGTCACAATGTTCTAATAAAAAGATGTGGTTTGATTGCCAATGAAAAAACTCCCCACCAGAGACCAAATGATGTAGAAGTTTACAAATATATCTTTCTTGGTTGGCAATGTGACAGAGCTGCTTAAAACTGTTTCACTCAGTCAACTTATGAACATGATGTACTGGAAATAACCAGTTGATTAAAGTAACTACTTTTATTGTTGTTCTTCATCATAACAGTTGCTGTAGAGTCTTCACCTATATGAACTAAAATGTTTATACTTAATAACAATGTCAAGATTACCCCTATGGTTAACTTGAACATTATATGTGCAATAATGGTAACATGACTCCAACTGGAGGTATCAACTGTATTAAATAAAGAGACCAAATAGGAAAATTTTATGAAAAGATTATTAGATGTCAAAAGAATGAAATAATTGTCGATGTATTTTGGTTATTTTTAGTTTTTGTCAGAATACCTCACCTCCTTGTATTCATATCTGAAATTAGAACAAAATGACGCCTTTTTGAGAATTTTTAATCTAAGCCTGCTTGAGGGACCTAAATCGGGGAAAATATTTCTATAGTAGTGACATTAAGTCTTCAGAATAGTACTGAACTGCTCTCCATTATTGCTGTAAAACCTTTTTGTTCAAAATTCAAGTGCTGTTCCCATATTCATTTGAAATTTTTGTTATCCAATTGAATTAACTAATTAAATTGTTGTTTGTAGTGAGGACTCAGGAACAATTGAACTGATGAACTTTGAACTGATAAACTTGGAAACATCTGAAAGGTATACATAAGAAAAACAGACCACCTCTAGAATAAGAAAAAAGAAAGATTAACTCATAGAGTAAAGGGTAAAAACAGACCACATAGAATAAGGGAAGAGGAAGATTAACTCATAAAGTAAAGGGTAGACAAAACTAGCAACACTTTGAAATTAACAAGAGCAATAATCAACCATCTCAGAGGTTAGGTCTCTGACTGACTCAACTGATGAACTTATAACAAGCTTAACAGATTATCAGCATAGTAGAACAATGAACACATCAGAGACAAAATCTTCTTGGCAATGAAAATATATGACTGAAATTTCATAATTGTATATGGTCAGTGGGAGAGAGAGAAAGATGTAGAATGGTCAGAGTGGGAGAGGAAGAACACTTATGATGATGATGAGGGGAGAAATAAAGAACAATTATTGCAACTGGTAAATTTGTCTTCAACCAAACTCATGGCTTGTGTTGATGTGTCTAACCTTAGACATCTGATATTTTTGTCGAGCCTTCGACTTTTGTCGAAAAAGCGAGACATAGCGAACCTACATTCCGTCGGCGTCGTCGTCGTCGGCGGCGTCCACAAATATTCAGTCTGTGGTTAAAGTTTTTGAAATTTTAATAACTTTCTAAAACTATCATGGATTTCTACCAAACTTGGACAGAAGCTTGTTTATGATCATAAGATAATATTCAAAAGTAAATTTTGTAAAAAAAAAATTCCATTTTTTCCGTATTTTACTTATAAATGGACTTAGTTTTTCTGCCAGGAAACATTACATTCACTCTGTGGTTAAAGTTTTTGAAATTTTAATAACTTTCTTAAACTATCCTGGATTTCTACCAAACTTGGAAAGAAGCTTGTTTATGATCATAAGATAGTATCCAGAAGTAAATTTTGTAAAAAAAAATTCCATTTTTTCCGTATTTTACTTATAAATGGACTTAGTTTTTCTGCCAGTTAACATTACATTCACTCTGTGGTTAAAGATTTTAAAATTTTAACAACTTTCTTAAACTATCCTGGATTTGTACCAAACTTGGACAGAAGCTTGTTTATGATTAAAAGCTAGTATCCAGAAGTAAATTTTGTAAAAAAAAAAATCCATTTTTTCCGTATTTTACTTATAAATGGACTTAGTTTTTCTGCCAGTTAACATAGTACATTCACTCTGTGGATAAAGTTTTTAAAATTTGAACAACTTTCTTAAACTATCCTGGATTTGTACCAAACTTAGACAGAAGCTTGTTTATGATTAAAAGCTAGTATCTAGAAGGAAATTTTGTTCCATTTTTTCCGTATTTTACTTATAAATGGACTTAGTTTTTCTTCCAGTTAACATTACATACAGTCTGCAGTTTAAGTTTTTAAAACATTTATTAGATTCATAAACTATCCTGGATTTTTACCAAACTTGGACAGAAGCTACTTACAATCAAAAGATAGTATAGAGAGGAATATTATTATTAATTTTTTTCCTCATTTTTGCTGAGCCTGTGATTAACAGCAAAAAGTAGGCGAGACACTGGGTTCCGCGGAACCCTTACGAATTTTTATTATCTAGAGCTCTGTTTGAAAGAAAATGTAAAAAATAATATGAAAACAAAATTTAAACCGTTCTAGATAATAAACATTAAGGGTGGGCATATTTTAAATTATTTTTTTTCACCAATGTATTTATGAAATTTAAAACTTTAAAGTGAGAATGTTTAATTGGACGTACAATTGTTTTGATTTTAGATATTTAGAGACAAAACCTATTCTTCTCCATTTATTACACTCTAAAAGTGTCATTAATTTGCAATGTTCTTATTTTGCAATGTCTTTGCTTATACCTCTTACTTTAGACATCCAATATTTTTATTATCTAGAGCTCTGTAAACAAAAAATTACAAAATTGCAAAAAAGTTCTAGATAATAAACATTAAGGGTGGTGTAAAAATGGTTATATTTTTTATATTTTGAATTCTTCTCCCCCTCCCCAATATATTTACGAAATTAAATACAAGAGATATTTATTGGTAAATGATTTGTGTTGGATAAGTTTTTTCCTTTCATTAGTGTATTTTAAAAAATGTTTTTTTCAAGCTGTACATTTTTCTTTGGTATTGAAAATGGCTTTGAAGTTAATATGTTTGATTGGAAGCAGCATTTTTTTATTATTAGATATTGGAGACAAATTTCACCTTAACAGTGTCTTAGATTTGCAATGTCTTTGCTTATACCTCTAACCTTAGACATCCAATATTTTTATTATCTAGAGCTCTGTAAAAAAAACCTAAAAAAATAATATGAAAACAAAATTGTAAACAGAGTTCTAGATAATAAACATTAAGGGTGGTGTAAAAAGTGGGTATATTTTGAATTCTTAAATGGCCTTAAAATTTGAATGTTTAAGGCCGCAATTAAAAATATCTTTGTTTCCCCTTACCCTACCCACCATTTTGGAAGTGGGTAGGTAGGTAGGCTTTTTTTTTTTTTTTTTTAGAGAAAATCCCTTAAATATACATGTATCTAACATACAGGAAAACACAGAAAAACAACAAATTGAACTTTATTGATACTAAAACAACATACTGTATAACGTATAATGCATGACTAGAAGACCTTACAATTTCAGACTAGAAAATGTTTGTAAATATCAATGTGTTTGTGACTTAGAGTAGACCACATATAAATTGAGACACGGTTCTATATCTTTCTTATAGTTTTATTAATTCAATTGAAAATATAAAACCCCAACGAGACTGCTACCTAGTAACATTTGATGCAAAAAATATGTACACTTGTTTTTCATTTAAGGAAATACTAGAAGCCACAAACCGTGATCCAAGCGAGTATGACTACGCCTATTAAGGCTTATTCTAGAAAACTATGAATTTATTTTTAACAATAAACTTTACCATGAAACCTTGGGCGTGCCTATGTGCGGATCAGCATTCGCTGAGTTAGCAGACCTTACAATGTTTGTTAATTCTTGAACACATTTTACAACGCTTTCAACACAGAGAAACAAAATGATAATGATAGTTGAAGTTCACCTACGAATTTTCTTGTAATGAAACAATATTCTTAGACACTGTCATAATTATACAAAGGAGAAAGATTCTTTAATGAAGGCATAGTATGATACAAGACATTAAAACCAATATCAAACCAACTGAAACATATCAATATCTGCACAGACACTGCTCACACCCAAAAAGTGTTTTCATTGAAAGGATTTATCAAGGGTGAAGTATTGAGGTATCTCAGAAACACAAGCAGCAAAACTGATCTTAAAAAAACAGTAAGAAGCTCAAACGAGGATATCAAATATCTGAAATCAACGATTTTTTTTATTAAACACAAAATACAGAAAGGGAAACCTTGCTAACACATCGCCCAGCGAAACGGGAGCAACCGCTAGTAATGTTAACAAAATTCAACCCATCTATACAGAAACTAAAAATATAATAATGAAAAACTGGCATCTTATTTCACAAAACCCTGAATGTGTGACCATATTTAATCATCAGCCCATTATAGCTTATAAAAGACATAAGAACTTACAAGAACTTTTATCAAAGCATTAGCTGGTGTAGTCATCTCGACTTTTCACAACACAATATGATGCTGAGCTCGAAAAAAATCAACTACTATTTTATCCAAAGACAACTAGTGTATGGTCCAATATCACGTACGAAATGAAACAAAATAGCATAAATAGCACGCCAATATACAACTTATTGAGTCAACCACTGATAAAGGCGAACTCAGGGATTTAAACCACAAACACGACAGAAACACCGGGCCTACGTTTAAGCTCAAGGGTGAGCTCGGATGCGCAATCGTAACTACTCGACCATTCTTGCTACGCATTTTGTTATTGGAGGCGTAGCTAGAATGGAATAGTAGTTAAGATTGCTTGGATGCATTTATTTAAAACATTATTCCATTCCAATTTCAGTATCCTTGCATACGTTGTTTACCCTTTGCTGCAAACACACGGGCGACAATGATTTCGCGGAATGTTGAAAATACGGACCATTCAAGAAACGAAATTAAAAAACGATCTTTTGAGCGAAACGAAAAAAAAAAAACAACAACGTGATTTTCGAAAAAAATTATGTCAGTCGGCGGATTTTTAGAGGGTCGGTCGGGTAAGGGGAAACAAACTTAATTTTAATTTTGGCCTAAATGGAAGTAG